ACCTGGCGGCCATCACCACCACGCCGCGACACGCCGCGACTCCCCACAAAGCTGGGCAAAGCGCGGCTAAGCAAAGCGCACCTCGCGGTCCAAACGACGGCTTGAAAAAAGCGGCTGGCAAACCAGGGACCCGGGACCCGGGACCCGGGGTCGGGTCATGCGGGCAGCGGTCTAACTCGGGCTTAATGTCCAGGCGGACACTACGCCACTGTGGCACGCACACACACACTCACACAATACTTTTTTCTCTCTCTTGTTTGCGTTCCTCGCGACTAAAGTGGCATGCGAGCAAGACTTTCTTCTGAGTGGTGTGCGTCCGTGTGTCTCCGTGCTCGGCGCGCTGACGTCGGCCTGACGCCGAGGCGCGGCTGAATGCGAACTGCGGCCCGCGGACTGATTCCGAGAGTCGTTCTCGTCGCTCTGTCTTGCTCTCGCACTCATGGGGCGATTCTTGCGGGTGTGAGAGGGACAGAGCGACGTAGGCGACTCGCGGAATGAGTCCGCTGCCTGCCGGGCCGCGCCGCCCCTGACGGACGGGGCGGACGCGGGGTGGACGGTGGGAGAGTCCTCGAGAGCCCCGGAGAGTGTCGGCGGCGATTAGGCTGAAATGAGGCAGTTATAACTCAATTAACGCTCACGAGATGGCGCCACGCGACGCCGCGCCTCCGCGGCCGGGCAGCCAGGCAGCCAGGCAGCCGCGGAGGAATGCGCGCAGCATCCGCAGCACAGCGCACCGCGCTCGGGAAACGCCGGACTCCAGGACGGCGGCGTCCATGACGGCGTCTATGACGGCGTCCTCCACGACGGCGTTGCTTTTCTTTTCCAGCGAAACAAAGAAAACTCCGGGGAGATCTCTTCTCTTCTCGTCTATAAAGAGGCGGACGAGCGTCTCGGTTTGGAAGACTTTCATCGCAGAAGGCGCAGTCAGTCGCGCAGTCACACGGTTACGGCTATAGAAAGGAACAGTTCGTTAATACTTCACCGTAAGGGAAGGGCCATTCTCCCTTCACTATAACGTCACTTCATGTTTCCATTTTGTAACAGGAGTTTCATATACCATGAAAATGCCAGAAGAAAACAACAACAAAAACAAGTCTTTTGTCCGTGTCAGTCTGCTACAGTAACTATTTCATAAAGCACGAGAATGCCGAAACTCAAGTTTTTGTCCGCCCGAATTTGTCGAATGGCGTGAAACCAGTAAGAGAGAGGCCCCCCGCTTCCGGCTGTGCCGGGCCGTGCAGTAACGCCGTAACGGCAGTAACCACATGTCATACGGCCGGCGTGGATTTGGCGGGATTAGCAGTCACGATTGCTCACATTAAACTAACGAGAGAAAGCGAATCGGAAGGGGAAGGGCAGGCAGGGCCGGGCGGGGCCGAAGGGCCATTGGCTGCCATTGGCTGGCACCAATCAATGGCATATTGAGTAAACAAAACGAGTCCCAAGTGAAGGCTGGCTAGCCGGCTGATGTTATCCCGGCCGGCTGCCAATAGCTCTATACCGTACTTGCGGCCGACGGAAAAAAGGTCCGCCGCCGCGCCGCCGCGTCGCGTCACGGATTAAGGTCGACACGTGTCTCTCACTTTTAACTGTTGATAAAAAGGCGGAACGCGGCAACGCGAGGCAACGCGCGGCAACGCGGGAAAAGGGGCGGCAGGGGTAAAAAGCGGCGAGCGCGACGCCGCGACGCAGCACGCGTAAAATCATGCATGGGTTTCGTGTCCGCGGCGTTCGCGGCGCCGCGGCGGAACCGACCACGCTTTGGCCGAGTCCGCCTTGGCCGCCCTGCCTGGCTGGCCTGGCTGGCCCTGCCGCCGCCTTGATGCGATGCGATGCGAGCGATGCCTTCATCGACGTAATTTTCTCTTTTCCCGCCGTCATTTCTCGGGCCGGTTACGCCCCGCGGTGATTTCACAGATCGCGTCAGTCGATTACTCTGCCGCGTCGCGTCGCGTCCCGTCCCGTCCCAAACCAGACGCGCCACGCCGAGGAGGCGCGTGCACTTGGCGGCGTTTTCCTCGCCTTTTCCCCGGAGTGGGCGGCGCGTTTAATAATGCGACCGCCGCACAGGAACTCCCAGCGGTCTCTCTCGCACTCACGCGTCGGAACGCAAGGTTGCGACAGAGACAGCGCGACCGGCCGGGGCAGCCGCGGCAGCGGGGGCCTCATGTATGGCATTAGAGTCTCACTCTGGACAGTAAGTACGGATCGTATGTGAAGCATGCACTGCAGTGACGCGCGTGCGAAACACAATCCGCTGCATCCGGGTCGGCGCGGGGGCGGGGCGGGGCAGGGCGGGGCGGGGCGATGCGGGGCGGCATTGGAGCGCTGGGCAGTGGCCGGCCAGCGCGCTGCATATGGACTGGGAACGGGGCAGCCGGGGCAGTCCAGGCAGAAGCTCTGACCCACTGGTCTAGGCGGGGCAGTGCGGGGCAGTGCGGGGCAGTGCGGGCAGCGCGCTGTGGCGGGCAGCGCGCTGTGGCGGCAAGGGGGCGGGGGGACGCTTCTCCCTCGGCGGAGACCGCGCCGCGCCGCCGATTGGCACCAGCGCGATGTGCCGCCAATGCGCGCCTGCGCACCGCCGTCGGGTAAGCCAATTAAAAACACCAAAAACAGCAAAAACAAGTCCGATTCGCTGTAGCGCCTGTCAACCAGCGGATAGGCCGCCCCGCGGCACAGCCCTGCTCGGCGGGCTAGTCTACCCCAGAGTTCGCAGGGGCTCCCGACGGGGCCAGGACGCCGCTGACGCCAGGGCGAAGCGACGCCGCCGGAGCAGGCCGATGAGTCCCAGCCCCAGCCGACCAGCCAAATCCAACAATATGCAGGCAAGGGCTGGGTCGCACGGTGAGAGTCGAGCCTCGGAGCTTCGGCCGCGCTTCGGCCGTGCTTCGGGCCCGCTTCGGGCCGGCTTCGGCCCGCCGACCTGCGCACTACACCGTATCTGCATCCATCTAGGAATTTCGCGCGCAAAAGTCCGTGAAATCTATGCGGCGGCGAGCGGCGCGGCATCCAAACGGCGCTCTAAGTTGTTTACAATGTTCTTTGTGCGAAAGGCTTTGTGTGTGCATGCATGCATGTGTATGTCCCTGCGCCTGTGTGTGTGTGCGCGGAGAGACAACGGCCTGTCCGCTATGTGGCTTGCACGTTTATCTTCAATTAGTCAGGAAAGAGGCACACTTCGGCGACACTCCGCCATCGGCCTGCGACACCGACTGGGACTCGGACGGCGGCCCGCGTACTTTTCGGTCAGTGTGACGTCATCTCGCGACAGCGCCTGGAGTGCGCCGGTGAGAGGCGGACAGAGAGAGAGGATGTGTGTGTGTGTGTGTGAGAGAGAGAGAGAGAGAGAGAGAGAGAGAGAGAGAGAGAGAGAGAGAGAGAGAGAGAGAGAGAGAGAGAGAGAGAGAGAGAGAGAGAGAGAGAGAGAGAGAGAGCCGGGCCGATCACCGAGTCCTTCCCGTCGCGGATCCGGCATCGGGTCTCGATTTCTTGGCGCCTGAATTTCGCGGCGCCGTCCGGGCAGTCACTGCAGTGTCAACAACGGAGTGGCCGAGGCGGCCGAGGCGGCCGAGGCGCCAACGCGCTGACTAACCGCTGCTGAGGGGACTGGAGCCTGCGGGCTGCCTGTCTCTCTCGCACCCCTGCGGGCCCTGCGGGACGGACCGTGAGAGCGAGAGAGACAGAGCGCCCGTTCGGATTGGCTCCGCCACGGCCGGGGGTGTGACTGCGCGCATTCGCATCCCAGACTGATTCACGCCCGCATTAAAAAGGCGCTTTAATTGCCAATAAATATCGGACACCCTCGCGCGGCCCAGCGCAGCGCCACCTCGCATTGCCGCCGGTCGAGTCGGCTGTCGGGCTGTCAGCGCGGCGTAGAAAGTCTTTTCAGTGAAAGCCCTCGCCGTCCGATTTCGGACATTGTGTTTGCGAGTCGTTCCGTTTTCGTTTATTTTTGGCGCCACGCCAAGAGGAGGCGGCAAGCGCGGCAAGTGAGTGAAGAAGTGTGCTGCCCGGCAACAAGTGGCGTGCCTTTGTTTCTCTGTCCGTCCGATGGCCGAGCCATGGCCGAGCCAAGCCGACGGCCGATGGCGTGTGTGCTCGACACTTTGCGTGCAGACGGCCGGCCGTCGTGCAGCCGAGTGCACTGCTTTGCTTAATGCGTCGGGGGCAGGCGGGGGGCCGGCCGGCCGCGCGAGGAGTGTGTGAGTCGACGCCATGTCCCAGGCCGACTGATGCCACGAAAGGGTTGGAACTGGAGCAGGGAAGGCCGGACAGAGACGGAATCACGGCCTCTGCTGTCCGATAGTCCGATTCTCTGGTTCTCCAATTCGGAGCGGCGGCCCAGGGCAGGAGTGCCTCCGAGGTGGCCGTCGAGCCGCCGGGCCGCCGGGCCGTCCGAAAGACCGAAACACGGAACAATCTAAAGTGCATCGCTCGGGGCCGCCCGGGCCGGACTTGCTTCCCTACGAGCGACGAACGCACACTCGCGGGGCACGGCGAGTCCAGAAAGGCCGCCGGCCCTGCTCTGCCTGCTGTCCTCAGCCTCGCCCTCGTTGGCGTCCTCGGCGTTGGCGGCCGAAACAATGCGAGCTAATCGAAGCTTGGAGCGTCACAGGCGTGCGGCCTCTGTCTGCCTTTGTCACGACCGGCCGGATTCGTGATGAGCCTTGCGCACCGCCCGGCCTGGCCCAGCCTGGCCAACCTAATGATGAGGCGGCGGACGACGGCCACCCTCGCCGCGCGCCACCAGGGCCACCAGGGCGTCCGGGACTCGGTCTGCTCACCGGTCGAGGGCTACCTGTGCGGTACCTGCGGGGCACCTGTAGGGGCGCGCGTCCAGGCCGTCCAGGCCGTCCCGGCGTCCGGCACGGCGGCGGTGCGGGGCGCAGGGCGGGGCGCGAGGCGGCGCGGTGCGGTGGTGGGGGCCGCGGGCCGTGGTGGCGCGCGGACTTGGCTCCGGCGGCGCGCGCTCGCCGCGCTCCACTCCAGTTGGGATCAGGTCTGGACTCCGGCGTAGTGGTGCAGCCAGCCCCGCACTGCCGCACTGCCGCACCGCACTGCCGCGCGAAGTGCCCGAGTGCGAGTGTCGTGGAGTGCGAGTGCAGTGATCGTGTGTGCCGCGAGTGCGTGCGTGCGTGCGTGTGTGTGGCGTCAAGAAGGCCGTCGCCGTCGTCAGGATGGTGCGACACCGCCCCCTCGTCGTCGTCTGCGTCGTCGTGGTGCTGAGCGTGCACCTCGCCTCGGTACGTGTCGCGGGCGACGCAGCGGCTGCGGCATGGCTGCAGCGTGGCCGAGAAACGCCGACGCCCTTTTTGAAAAGTGATTTCCGATCGACACGTCTTCCCTGCCTGCCGGGCCTGCCGGGCCTGCCCGGCCCTGCCCGGCCCTGCCCGGCCCTGCCTCGACAAGCCCTAATAAGCCATCCACGCAGCGGCTGGTGGCTGTCATACTTTTTAAGCGTCTGTCTTTGCTGAGCCGAGGCCCTGTCACTCCACTTGGGGAATGCAACTTCTTTCTTTTTTTTTTGTCCCGGATGACTAACATTCGCGTTATATGTGCGTCCCCGTTGGGCCCCGTTGTTGCTTTTTAATAAGCTCGTTGATGTCTTCATGTTGCCTCGCATGTAAATGCACATTTTGCAATCTGCACGTGTCAGCGGGGCGTATTAAACAGTTGAGGGGGATTATCTGTCTGGAGCCGCTCGGAGTGCGCCGTCACCGCAGACAATAATAACGAACACTGGGCAATTTTTAATTGAAAAACAAATACAGGCTTCGCGGTGGGGGTGAAAAAAGGATGGCACTGCGAAATCGATTTCGAGATTCCCAGAACAGTAAGGCGATGCTTTGGGTCGAGGCGAAAGGGGGAAGGGGTCAGAAGACGGACGGGGATGAGGACAGGACGGCGATAGACAGAGAGAGAGAGAGAGACGGAGAGACAGCGCGCAGGGAGGGCAGCAAACCTCTTTGGAGCGTCGCCAGCGGCAGCCTCGCCAACGCCGAATGGCGGCGGATGGTGGCGGATGGTGGCGGATGGCCCCAAATAATGACCGCTGACTGACTGGTTGATAACGTGCCTCCGCTGCCTCGGCGTGCTTCGGCGTGCTTCGGCTGCTTTGCATATTCGCGAGGGAACGAACGCGCCTCTCCGCAGCCTCGGCTGCAGCGCAGCAGCGGAGCCTGGCAGCCACTGCACACAGTCGTAACGCGGTAACCGGCGAGCAGATTAATGCCCCTTTTGAGGGACTGGGGGACTGGCGGGGACTGGGAGACGTAACACAGCAACAACAGGGAATGCCCTCACGGCCCGACGGCCCGGGGAGTTGATCCAGTCGGCTTTATGTATCCGCGTAAGTTTAACGACAGTGCTGCGCGGCCGCGCAGTGCCACGCAGTGCGACGCAGTGCAGCCTGCAGTTTGAGACGCCGGACGCGACGCGAGCGGACGCCAGTTTTATTGGTGTGTTAGCGCACTGTTACACCGCTCTAATAGACTCGTTGTGGTTACTGTCGGCGGTAAAGATAATGGGATAGTCTCTGTCTCCGCGATCGGCCCGTAAAAATGGACCCGACGCCCTTTACTGGTTTTCGCTGGCGACACACACGCCGGGACCAAGTAGGAGTAAGAAAAAAATGGGGGAAATGTCTTGTGCCGCGAGTGGGTACCGAACCCACGGATCCTCCTCGCGGCCACTTTCCTCGTTGAGTCGGGCACGACATTCCAGGATGGAAGATGCAGCTCGTGTGCCATTTTCGAGCGGATCGCTGCCGCCGAGCCGCGCCGCGCCGAGCTCCCGGCTCCCCGTTCGTTTATATCACCGCCCAGGCGTCGAGCGTCGAGGCGGGGAGGCGCGGGGAGGCACCGGGAGGCACCGGGAGGCACCGGCAGGCAGCGGCAGGCACCGGCAGGCACCCGGGAGGCGGTGTCCTCTGGCCGGCCGCGCGGCCCCACGCCCTGACGTCGTACGCCTAGAACAATGGCGAGGAGCTGGCCGCCGCCAGGGCAGCCCGGGGCAGCCAGCCCGAGTGAGGCGAGTGAGGCGGCTTGCCGATGAAATGGCAGTTATCGTCCTGATTGCCGCATTGCCGCTCTTGTTGCTGCTGTTGTTTGCTAACCTGTGCCGTGCGTTGCAAAGTGCCGCAACTGCACCCGCCGGCAACCAGCCAGCCAGCACAGCCAGCCAGCCAGCCGGCCAGCCAGCCGGCCGGACACAATAATATATTTTCAGGCGCGCGCAGCGTGCGGCATTCCACGGGGTGTGTAGTAAAGTGCGAGCAAAGAAAGGGGCAGGGACGCGCTGCCAAAGCGCCAAAGCGCATACACTATACATACAGTAACGGGAGCCTTAACAAACAGGCGCGTGACCCCCGGCGCCCTGTCGCGCCTGTCGCCCTGGCAAACACCGCAAACACGGCGAGGATTTGCCAAAGAAACGCTCATGCTCGTCCCAACGACGCCGGCGACGCCTACAGTGCAAAGCCCAGAGCAAAGACCCAGCTCATAATCGCACCGCAGTTTGTTGTGTGCAGACTGCAGACACTTTTTCCCCTAATCGGGCGAAACCGCCTGGCCGGCCGGTAGTTGTGTGCGCCATGAGCCGCCGTGAGCCGGCCAAACGGCCCCACTAAAGTCGCCGGCTTGGCCGCCGTTGGCTCAACAAGCCGTCGGCTGCCGTCGGCGCGGACACGGCGTCGGTCGGACGGGCGGCCCGGCCGTAAGATGTCGCCGGAACGAGGGGAGCCCACTGCCAGCGCCTCTGTCAGGGCAGGCCGCGCCCGGGTACCCATGGCGGGGCGCGCCACGGCCGAGGCCACGGCGGGGCGACCGGTCCCCAATCAGCCGCATTAAGACGTCGCGGGGAAACGTTTCGGCACCGCCAGGCCCACGCAGCCACCCCGGCCGCCCCGCCACTGCAAGGCCCCCGCCGACGGCACCACGGCACGTACACCGGCATGCCGGCCGGCCACTCGACTGGCGATCGCGCGGCTGGCCGGGTGTGAAAAATTCCAAGTGCGTGTGCGGCCAGGCGGGCCAGGCAGCCAGGCCCGTGGCAGCGTACGGCAGGCCTACGGCATGCCCACGGCCAGTGCCAGGACGAGGCGTGTGGTGTGTGTCCCGTGCCAAGTCTGGCTCCATCTGATGAGGCGCTCGGCCGGCGACCGCCGCCGCGCCGCCGCGCCGCCACGCTGCCACGCGGCCACGCCCAAGGGGCATACTGGAACATGCGACACGATACATACCCGCCCGCGCCTCCCTACATCATGTGGACGGGGAAAAAGAACGACGGAAAAAGCAGTCCGGCGGCGGGGCTCGAACCCGGGACTGTCACGTCAATCAGCCGCTGGTCAAGCTCGGTTGGTGACGCTGGTAAGGCCTGCCACAACGGCTGGCCGAGGGCTGCCTAGGGCCTGGCGCAGCCTGGCGCCACGCCGCCCTTCCCTTCACATTAACGTCCACTTTCACGCACCAGACTGCGGCACTGCGCCACTGCGGCGTGGAGGTGGCGGAGCGTGGCGGCGGCCAGCACACGCCGTGCTGCCGTGCTGTGCTGGGCTGCCCGGGCCGAGCAGGCCGACCAAGCCGAGACCGAGAGGCACAGCCCCTCCCGGACGCCCCCGTCGACCCGTGCCCCGGTGGCCGCGTAGTGGCCGAAGTGTTTTTAGCGACTTTTCGTTCCACCGCCACACGTACTCGTTAGCCACTGAAGCGAGCGAGAGCGCACACACACGTACACACACACACACGCGCGCGCGCGCGGTAGGGTGGCGGACTGCGAGGACGCCGTTGTCGTGCTGCCGAGAGGAAGGGCGGCTGGCTCTGTTCATCCCGTTGTCTCGCTCGGCCCCCGCGAGGCGGCGTGGCGTGGCGCGGCGCGGCGCGGCGAGGGCCGCGAAGAAAGCGCGAGTGAGTGTTGGGTGCTGGCAGTGCTGGCACACGGCAGTACAGTACCCACTACCGCACTGGAAAAAATCACGCGCCCGGCTCATTTAAATGTGTGCCACCGCGTGGCGATCCACGGCGATGCACGGCGGCGCATGGAGGTGCTCGACGGTTCGACGTTTGCCGTGGGCGCCACCTTGACGAAATGCATGCCCCCCCCCTCCCCCAAGGAGTGCGACGGGAAGCCAACGAGAGCGACAGCGGCGACGCCCGGGAGAAGTTTTTTTATCTGCCGCGGGAGTCGTTTTACTCTCGCGATATAATTAGGCGACCGACACAGGTTTACTGCACGATTCCGCCACCTGACCGTGCAGGCCGTGCCGCGGCCTTTAGGTAACCTTCCTGCCTCTCGCTCTCACTATCTCTGTCTCTCTCTTTTCTCACTCTCTCTGTCATGCGGTTCGGGTTCAGGCGCACGCCCTTCCGGGCCACACTTTGGCCCCAAAATAAGTGATTGGACGACAATGATCGTTTGAGTTGTGTCTCGGACACTCCCACGGCCCGACGCGATTGGTTGAGTGCGGCGGGTGGCCAGAAACTGGGCGATACACATTCACCAGACGCTGACCTGCTGACCACACGGCCCTGCCATGGCCCTGCCAGGGCGTTGCTGAGGACCCCGTCCGGGCTGACAGAAAGATTACGGGTCAGCAGGAATGATTTTGGCCGGCAACCTCGGCAGGGCTGGGCCACAGGCTGGGCTGGCTGTCGATTCGGCAGTGGGTCATCGGGGATTCATCGCACGTCACCCGCCTTCGCCTTAAGAAGTCCCGCACGGTGTTTCCCGCTTGCCCGGCCACCTCGTCCAGGTCCAGCGCAGTGCGACTGGCGAGACCCGGGCGCAGCTGGGTCGCGGGTTCGAATCCCGCCGGGGGGGTCAGGCTTTTGCCAATGACTGGCCGGACACGGGCTGCGTACATAAAAAACGGCGTAACAACAAGCGAATTCCTCGGGAGCCACAGACCGCATTTAGGCATTCCGTTTCTCCGTCCACACAGTCACACACACACACACACACACACACACACACACACACACACACACACACACACACACACACACGCACACACACTCACGCCGCGGCCGACACGACCTCCCCGCTTAGAAAGCCACAGCCAAAAGGCAAACCAATACGACCGAAAAGAGCGTCGCGCCGAGAGGGGCGCCAACCGGCGCCAACTATGCCGGCCTAAGCCAGTCGCCCACAAGTTGGCCTTGAATGTGATCCAGGATGTCCGGGAGCGGCTTGGGGTGGGTCAGGAGCGTCAGGAGTCGGGATCGGGTCAGGCAGTCAGTGGTGCCAG